ACATTAATGATATTCAGCAGGCCCAGTCCCGCTGAACCAGCTCCAATAGACCCAGGAGCGCCGACTGCAATGCCAACAATCAGCGTCGCCATTCCTGCCACGACCATGTCCAGGACGAGGGTGAGCCATCTTTGAATGACGAAGAGCAGGTAATACGGCCGTTGCGATGCATCTGTTAAACCGCAGATATTCTCGAGAAAGTTAGTTTGCCAGCCGAACGCACGTATGGTTACCAGCCCGTTCACGGTCTCCATGAAATTGGAGTAAAGAGGGGATTTAGCTTCTAGCTCCATAAACCGTAGCTGGCGCGAGGTTCTGAGGTAGAACTTTTGGAGAAAGTAGAAGACTGCCAGGCATAGCGGGATGATGGCTGCAAGGTATTTTCCAGTAATGAAAACTATTAACAGCTGCGCTATTGCAGACATGAGGGCTTCCTACGGGTTAGGAAAGCTCATTGGTACAATACCAGGGAAGTATTGAACGTACCAACGCTCGTCTCGACAAGGGCAAGTGGTAACTCCATATCCACCAGTTGCATGTCTTGACTGAACCTATTGCGCCTGTGAGCTTCATACTAAAGTATAGCGATGGCTATCTTACTTGTTTGTAGTAACCCCGGAATCTGTTGTATGGAAAAAAGATATCGGAGCGCTGCAGAAGTTAGTAAGGTGACCTGGGAACAATGATAGACTTACTTTAACACAGTGCGAAGGAGGATCTTGTGCAACTTCCTCGAAGCTCGAGGAATCATATTGCTCATCATATGCGTGCTTCAGGTTAGCCATTGCATGTTCCAGAGACAAAGGGTAGACTTATCAGCATCCCAAAAATAACGACAGCTCTGCCATAACTGCTAGAAACGCATACACGCCCAAATACATCCCAAGGTCCTTATATGGGTGCTTTTCGTTTGCAGCAGCCCACCACTGGACCCATACACCTGCGAATGTGAGCTTTAATCAGATAAAGCGGATTACAGCACCTACTCGGAAATGCCAAACTGAATGTGAAGATCGCGACCGCGATAAAGAATACCACAGAGTTGAGTATTCCAACCATTTCAAGATAGTACTTATAGATCGTCACATCGCCTGTCCGACGGCTAGCATCAGATGTCTCAAGCTGTGCGGCAAGCTCATGTGGTACATCAGGGTTGGACTGCCTCACAATCCAGCTTAGTCTTGCATCGCTCAATATGGGCTCTGGGAGGAAGTCTCCTCCGCTAGGGCCGGGGAGGCTGGAAACAATTGAATCCTCCTTTTCTGAGAAACGGACTTTGCTATCGAGCGTGATGGTGTAGTCTGCGGAGGAGGTAAGGCGAGCTTTGAGATCAAGGTTAGTTTCTAACATTCTCCGAATGTCTGAATAGATTACTTACTAGAATGGGTTGCAAGGATGGTGGTCAGATTGTGTTTCCGACAAAAGCCACCTTGACCGAACAGCCGAGCTATCACTAGCTTCTCTGTGTCCGCATCGAACCCACTAAATATATCATCGAGGAGCAACAAGGGCTGTCGTGAATAAAGCGCCCTAGCAAGTGCCTGTCAAGGTAGTTATTAGTGTCTCGTAATTTGGAGCTCCAGATACTTAAGTAACCTACAACACGATGCTTCTGGCCACCGCTCAATGACAAACCTTTACTTCCCACAACCGTCTGAACACCCAACGGCATCGACCTCAGATCTTGTCTCAAACCAGAAGCCTGCGTAACCTCCCGAAACCATCGCGGCTCATAAGTCGCAGGGCCAAGAATATTACTGAGAATAGTTCCGTTCTGCAGCCACGGATCTTGACTACAGAATGCGGCAGACGAATAGCGACACCTCATGTACCCCTTTGTCACGGCTGTCTCGCCCCTCAGGCCTGCTAACAAAGTCGACTTCCCACAGCCAGTTGGACCCGTGATGATCGTAAGCGTAGACGGTCGGATCTTGAAAGTCATTCGTTTCACAACCGGTTCGCGAGTAGATACCCATCCTACGCTCCAGTTTAACGCCTCGACTGCGTTCTCCATTTCTGTATTCTTCATTTCCATGTCTCGGAGGTTGTCCATCTCTGGGAAGAGGGTCTGTTCGGAAGTAAAGGAGCTGAGGAAGCCGACTTCTTTTGTGTTCTCAGTCATCAGGAACACGCGCACGCGCTCGATGGATCCGACGGCCGAGATTAGATTAGGTACAGATTGCAGTAGCATTGACATTGGGTTCTGAAGGACCGAAAACAGAGACAGAGTTGTAAATGCCCTTGCGGTGGTTAGCTCCGGGCCGTTGTCAGATCGCGATAAGGCGATGAATATGCCAAACCCGACAGCGGGGGATATGACTGAAGTCCCAAACGCTAGTATAGGTTAGTAAGGAACGAATCAAGTAGGCATGAAGCAGTGTACTAACACAAGCTGACAGCGTATATGAGAAAGGATCGGAAGCGATTAGCGTATCCTATCTCCTGAACTCGCAAATTTTGTACAAAATCCATGAACCAAGGGGTCAGTCCTTCCAACTTCAAGCTCTTCATAGAGTTGATCATGTATGTTGTAACATCGATCCTCTTCTGTATGCCTTCTACCCATGTTGCTTGCCGCCGCCCGACAGCTGGTGCCATGGTTGCAGCAGTAGCTCCACACACTAGCAGAATGTTAATATCCAGTCCTAGCTTGTCTGCTCCGGTGGAAAAACTTACCGACTGCAATAAGAATTGGACTCAGTCCTCCATAGTTTAGCTCGCGATATAGCAACCACAGAGCCAGAGCTATTTCAATGATATTTCCCCATGCCTCATGCATGTAGCGCATACCAAAGGCTATCTTTTCAATGTCAGCGCTCATCAACGTTACCGGTGCATATTCTTCGGCCGTTCTCGGATCCATGGAGAGCGTCTTCTCATAAATCAGCGGCACAAGGCAACCCCTCATGAGGACGATAGTACGGTAGGTGATATGCTGGTAACATGCTTCGGAAATCTGAAGCAGTATTAGCATTTCGCAAAGCACCAAGCATCTGACCAAACGCACCCCTAAACCGACGTATACAATGATATATGCACCAAGCAGCCCATATCCATCCTTGCGATTGTGTTTCTCCGACACAGTTTGCAGGTATTTAACAACCGCATCGATAAGAAACGGCTGGGTGAAGGTGAAAGCCGTGAAGCACAGTCGAGGAATAACGGCAGTGAGAAGAAGCAGCTTGTGCTCCCACACCATAATCCAGAGAAGTCCATTTTTCTTGCCTTTTCTTGCCGGGCTTGCTGCTCATACTTAGCTATAGCTAAAAAGAAAGAAAGGGGGACAAGCCTACCATTCTGCCACACCTTGGAGAAGCTCTTCGAACAAACTTCAGACTGCAAGGAGCGGTTAAGGGTGAAGAGATCATCCGCTTGTAGATCTTTCTTGGAGCCTAGGAGCAACAACGGATTCACCCACCAAAACATGCGACGGTTGACCCACCCGACCTTCTCTTCGGGACTGTATGACTGTTCCAACGAACCAAGTGCCCGAGGCCAGGCCTCCTGCACGAGTAAGACTAACTTCCATATTACTGAAATAGTTGTTAATTTGAATATGTGACCACGATACCCCAAACCCCATAACGTGCGTAGTCGGACAGCATCGAACGCGATAGTGAAAAGAAGGTAGATCTCGATGAGAAGGGGCGGTTTCACAGAGCGCGTGTGTTCAAAATGCGATACGACACCGAGCACAATAGCAGTGACCAGAGTGAGCGCCGCAGCTGGGATAGTCGTGCGTGTCACAGGTTCATAGCTCGATGTCCACGATACTAGAATAGCCGTTTGGATGGCAGCGAACCACCCGTAGCTGATCTGCGACAAAGTTAACGATGCGACGACGACTTCGGTGCATTAGAACAAGATATTCGACGTACGAGTTTAGCCATATAAGCGCCATCTCTACTTCCATCTCTTGGTGCCTTTCTGTACAGGTAGACCACTCTAGGGAAAAGGCAAAGGAGTAAAAGTCCGATCGGGCCGATCGTCATTATAGACTCCTCGAACAGCAGAGTAAAGTCGTAGCCGGCATAACACTCCCGAGCCTGAGGCCCGAAAGCATCTTGAGAGGCGATGGTGCAGTTCATTGCAACTTCGCCTATCTCGAAGCGTAGTGGAAGGAGGCGCGGATCTGTGCCATCTGGAGTAAAGCGATACAGTTCGCACTTTAGACCTTAGACTAACAAGACTCACTCCTCTGGCGTTCGTTAAGTCGCACCGCCTAAGTTGATAGCACTGCTTGAGGTGCCCGAATACTGGTCGAAATCCTCAGATGGATTACCAGCAGAGAGCTGTTGTCTGCCTACTCCCGACATTGTCAGGGTAATGCGCCAGACTGAGTGCCTGTATCTCCAAGAGGGGCATAATCATAGGCGCAGGTGACCGTGGAGACGCTGTCCAGGCGTGGGTGGTGCTCATTGGCGGGTGCGTAAATATAACCACGCCATTGGAGCAGGTCGGATCCTGCGGCGGCGCCAAAACTGCCATGTTTTGGACCCCACACGATCGTCGCTGGCGCGATGAGCGAAGCCTTGGACCATGCAGGAAGGATCCTTGCTATCCATGTGGCCGGTGGGTCCTTGACAGTCCTCCCCGATCACGGTATCATGACGGCCGTAATTACCGTGACAGTGTTAGATACCCAATACGTGACGGTTTGGTATCAGAGCTTGTATCGAGACTAGGGTAGATACACGTCTGAGGCAATTTACGCGATGGCTGCATGCCACAATCGTATCAGCTTCACTTGCTCGATAGATTTGTTCAGCACCGGTCTGTTGTAGCCTCCGACACGAAGCTGACAGGGGAATGTAGTGTTGGTTCTCAGGCTCAATCCAACCTTTCGAAGGCCGGACATCTTTGTACAAGCATTGTCGATATGGTCATTTTCCAAGGAGAGGCTTTCTTTCTCATTACGCAACTTCCTTTTAATCAATGTGACCTGCAGTCTATCGTTCTCATCTGCAAACACTAACTTCCTCTCATTGACCAGTTGCGCAATGGCTCCAATTGCTTTATCTACCCCTGAGCCACCTCATCTTAGAATCGAGCCTAAGTCTCTCGAGAGCATCAAGAATGACTCTATTTCGAACTCGGAGCCACCCGCTTCTATAGATGAGTTCTTGCCTCTTGAAGGGAAGACTGGCACCGCAGCTGGGATACCCGAGATTCTTTGCACAGCTTTTGGCCTTGCCCTTCGTTGCTATGGTACTGAAGGCGTGCATTTTGAATACCATGATGAGACAGCAATTGGATCACACTCCGCGAGTACGTGTCGTACGCTGAGCCCCGAAAGCAGGAGCGACTAACAATAAACACAGCTATATCGTTTGATTTGGACGAATTCCTCGAAGTTGAAGACCTTTTCGAAGCAGTGAGGACAACTTTGCAACGTCCTCAATCCGTGCTGGAAGCACAAGACGCCAAACTCGAGGCTCAAACATATCAAACTTTCCGCAGCGCTGTTATCCTTCGCGAAGAACGTGTAGATGGCAAATTTATCTCGCCATCGCCGAAGGTAAGGCGCACTTGCTCATCAGCAACTTAAAGATAGAGACTTACCACGTGTAGCTTGACCTCGAGCTCCATGCCATCAGTACTAAGAATGGCATTGACATTCACATGCTCTATACCCCGTCCAGGGTATCAGAGAACCTCGCAGTCCATTTGGCTGACACTCTCCGTCAGACATTCGAATTGGTCAACAACCACCCGGACACCGATCTTGCAAGTGCAACCTACTTGGGCCCGCTAAGCCAAAAGGAGATCCTCGACTGGAACTCTAACTCGCCTTCTCCAGTGATTGAGTGTGCTCATGAATTAGTTCGACAGAGGGCTTCCCTGCAGCCACAGGCTCCTGCTATTGACTCTTGGGATGCTCAGATGACGTATGCAGAGCTGGATTCCCTATCTGACCGTCTAGCTACCGTACTAGTTCAATTGGGAGTCAAAGCTGAGGCAATCGTGCCACTATGTTTCGAGAAGACTGCCTGGTATGTCGTAGCCATGCTTGCAGTACTCAAAGCCGGCGGAGCCTTTGTTCCTCTCGACCCGACGCATCCTTCATCACGCCTACGAGAGATTGTCAGCCAAGTCGATGCACCGATTGTTTTGACGACAGCCAAATATCACGATCTCTTCGAAGACTTTTCTGTTAAGGCAATAATAGTCGGTGAACAAACAGTCATGACGAGTGGTGAAAGGTGCCTTACTCCAGTCGCTGTCACCCCTCAGAATCTCGCATATGTGATCTTTACCTCTGGTAGCACCGGAAAGCCAAAAGGCACGATGATTGAGCACCAGTCGTTTTGCAGTGGGTCTTTGCGGCAGGGAGAAGCGGCCAACATGGGACCTCATTCTCGGATCTTTCAGTTCGCCTCATACAGCTTCGATGTGAGCATTCTGGAGATTCTCACGGGGCTTATCTTCGGCGCTTGTATCTGCATCCCGAATGAGCAACTTGGACGTGCAGACTTTGTCAAGTCCATGAACGACTTCCGTGTCAACTGGGCTTTCTTGACGCCGTCGGTCCTGAAGGTATTGACTCCTGATCAACTGCCCCTCTTGAGGACTCTAGTACTAGGAGGCGAAGCTATGTCAGAGTCTGATATGATGACATGGGCGGGAAAGCTTCAGCTGATGAACGGCTACGGGCCCAGTGAATGCTCCGTCGCAGCTACTGCCAACACCCAGCTCAACCCCCAATCCAGCCCACGGAATATCGGCAGAGCGATCGGTGGTGTATGCTGGATAGTTGATCCACAAAATCACAATGTGCTCCTCCCTGTTGGCGCCACAGGTGAGCTGATCATCCAAGGTCCTATTGTTTCGCGTGGGTATCTCAAAGACCCTGTGAAGACCTCAGCAGCTTTCTTCCAAAGCCCTGCTTGGATGACCCCGGGTACTTCACAAATCTGGAATCGCTTCTACAAAACGGGTGACCTGGTACGCTACGATGCAGACGGTATGATCCACTTCATCGGACGTAAGGATCACCAGGTCAAGCTCCATGGGCAACGCATGGAGTTAGGGGAGGTAGAGCACCATCTCTGGACAGATACACTCATCCGTAACGGTATGGCCCTCGTGCCATACACTGGTCTTTGCAAATCCCGCTTAGTTGGTGTTGTGTCTCTTCATAAGCAATATACGACTGCCTCGGTGCAGACACACCCCAGTATCCGCCTGGTAGACCATGCCGAGGCCACAGAAGAAACACAAGCAATTGCAAGAAGACTGTCACAACTGCTTCCCTCCTATATGGTCCCGACTGTCTGGGTTGTTCTGGAGAGTCTTCCGCTCATGTCGTCAGGCAAATTGGACCGGAAGAAGGTTGCAGAGTTCGTCGCTGATATTAGCACCGAGGCCTTTCAGCACATAATGGGTAACCCTGACAACCCTGATGACAAGGAGTCTATGAGCAAGACAGAGACATTGGTACAGAAGGTTTGGTCGAAAACCTTGAATATACCAGAGGAGCAGGTTGGCAGACACAGCAACTTCCTGTCTGTGGGTGGTGACTCTATCAAAGCGATGGCTGTCATGTCTGAGTTCCGCAAACTTGGAGTGACGGTTCTAGTAGCTGACCTATTGCGGTACAACGTTACTGAGATTGCTTCTAAGATAGAGGAGTCAGGTTCTGCGAATGTGCTCCTGGGCAGCAAGGTGGATCACCTTCCGACATCGAACCTGCAGCGCACCTTCCTCGACGTGTCTCGTTCTGGCAACAGTGCCATCCACTACGCTATATTACTGAAGCTCAATTACAAAGTCAGTATTCAGCAGCTGGAAGAGGCATTGAACACTATCATTTCTTCCTATCCAACGCTCACTCTCGGCTTTGAGGAGCAAAACGGGGAATGGTTTCAAGCATTCAGAGATCACGACGACTTTGAAAGCCCAGTTTACCACCTGAACTTGAACCATGTCTCTAGCTTGGAGGAGGCGCAAGAGATTGTGCAACGTCGTCAGGCGTCACTTGGTATAAATGGTAACCCAAATTTGATGATCGATCTATTTCCTGTTCGCGGCACACAGCACATCTCTCTCGTCGTGCATGCAGCTGTTCTTGATTCACAGTCTCTGAGTACTGTTGTTGGTCACCTCGACTACTTGCTTCAATCAGATGAGGACAAAGCGAAACATGTCTGGGAAAGTAAGCTTTTGTCCAGAGACGAGTTCTCTCATGCTTGGCTTGACCACCTCAGAAGCGAACGGGGCACAAAGCCTATTACCAGCTCTTTGCAAACCATTACTCCTGCCACTGTCAGTGGAGGTCGAGAATATGTTACAGAGATGCTAGAACTCGACTGCGAGATTACAGGGCTCCTCACTGGACCCTGCAACGCAAAGTTCGGCACCAACGCACCGGAGCTACTTCTGGCGACATTGATCCCCTCATATTACCAGATTTTCAAAGAGCATGGCCACCCCTCTCAGGTTATTGTCGAGAGATCTGCCCGGGAGTCTACTCAAAGCAAGGACTTGAGAGATCTTGTTGGTCAATTCTCTTCGATGCAATCCGTGCACGTGCCTGTGGAACACTCGGATCAGGTCACTCTTCAGTTAATCCGTGAGACCAAGGACAATATTCGCCGAAGAAATGGAAGTAGCACGCTTGGCTCTTCCAACATCATCTTCACTTACGGCTTGTCTGGCCATATTATAGATGGTACTGTATTGAAGCAGGCCACCTCAACTGTACGACACGGTTTGGGCGCCATCATCCACACAATGATCGAGGTTTCATGTCTCCTTGAGAGTGGACGGTTCAGAATCACGGTCGGGTCCGATCAGGTCAACGCTCAGCAGCTATACCTATTTGTCGACCAGTACAGACGGAACATTGCGCAAGCAGTCGAGATTCTAGCACCCAACACGGTCAGGGAATTCACTTTGGCGGACTTCCCATTACTTGCACTCGATTATCCATCCATTGACAGAATTAATCGTCAGCACCTTCCACGGCTTGGTCTCGGGTCACATGAAATAGAGGACGTGTATCCCTGCTCTCCATTGCAGCAAGGTCTTCTTATGAGCCAAGCTAGGAAGCAGGGCAGTTACAACGTATCCATTGGCTGGGAGGTGACGTCCCGCGAGCCCGACGAGACAATCGACATTGGTAGATTGCTCTCCTCATGGCAAAAGGTAGTCGAGTATCACCCTGCGCTGAGAACTATCTTTACCGACAATTTCGGTGGCAAAGACCCATACGCTCAAATTGTTCTGAGACGTCCTCGAGGGGAAGTTTCAGTAACACCTTGCTCAGATGTCGATGTTGGATCTGTGTTGGAGGAGACAATTGACCTGAGCACCAACCCTGTGGTCCCTCCCCATCGGTTTTCAATCAATTTCACAGTGGACGGTAGAGTGTTTTGCAGAGTCGACGCTAGCCATACCATTGTCGATGGCGTATCCAAGTCACTGATTCTGAGAGACCTGAAGCGAGCTTACGCGGGAACACTAGATGAACCCAATGGAGGTGCCAAGTACAGTAACTTTGTCCAATATGTTGCTGCAAATGACATGTCCGCCAGTATCGCTTTCTGGAAGAGCCATCTTGCCGAGGTCGAACCATGCTACTTCCCCAAATTGGCTAAGGCTGAAGGTACACCAGAGCTGAAGTACGCTGAGGTAGGGCTTGAGATGCCTACCAGTGTTCTGCGCGACTTTTGTGTCTCCCACAGTATCACGATCTCCAACCTTGTGCAGACAGTCTGGGCTCTTGTCTGTCGGGTGTATGTTGGTCGAGACGATATTTGCTTCGGTTATCTGGCATCCGGAAGAGATGCGCCCGTCGAAGACCTAGTTGACATGGTCGGGCCAACGATCAGCGTCCTCATCTGCAAGGCATTGCTAGACGACTCCACTACTGTCAAGGACGCCTTAAAAGCTTGCCAAGAAGAGTTCCTGGATTCTCTTGCGCATCAGCACTGCTCGCTCGCAGAGATTCAACATGCACTTGGACTCGCAGGAATGCCTTTGTTCAACACTGGCATCTCCTTTCAGACCATGACTGACGTTGATAGCGACAAAACGGTGACTGATATTGACTTCAAGGGACTCATCGTACGAGAGCCGACAGAGGTATGTTTTCACTCAGTAACATTTTGCAGCAATTAACCTGGTGTAGTACAATATTACGGTCCACGTTATCGATTCGCCGAACAACTTGGATATCAAACTCGGATACTGGACCGACAGTATCTCGGAATTCCAAGCTCAGTCCATCTCGGGAACATTCTCTGCCATTCTCAAGTCCGTGGTCGAGAACCCTGACGCCCGAGTTGATCAGCTCAGTGTTATCGGCCGGTATGATCTGTCGCAGATTGCATCATGGAACCAGAATGTGCCAGAAACGGCATCTTCTACAGTTCCATACCTCGTGCTTCAACAGACTATGCGCACCCCTCATGCTATTGCGATTGACACTCTGGCTGAAAAGATAACTTACAAGGAGTTTGGACGCATGTGGCTGTCTCTGTCTCGATACTTAACGAGCCTTGGTATTGGCGCTGGAGATTACGTGCCGCTGACATTCGAAAAGTCAGCATGGGCTATCGTTGCCATGCTTGCTGTTCTGGGTACTGGAGCTGCGTTCGTTCCGCTCGATCCTAAAACCCCGGTGGAGCGCCTCCGTGAGGCTTCTATTCAAGCTGCAGCTAATGTGGTGCTGGCATCTCCAAAATATGCTTCGAATTGGGACAATCTTGTTCCAACGATTGTCAGTGTTGATCAAGCTCTCCTCGACAAGCTAAAGCACGAAGGAGGTGATCTCGACCAAGGTGCCCTGAGAGCCCGCCCCCATGATGACGCCTATGTCATCTTCACTTCAGGCAGCACAGGGAAGCCCAAGGGATGTGTTGTGCAACATGCTGCTTTCTGCTCTGGAGCCTTGGCTCAAGGCAAGCTTGCCTGCCTGGGTCCCTCATCTCGAGTGCTGCAGTTTGCCTCCTACAGCTTCGACGTTAGTCTCCTAGAGATCATGACATCACTCATGTTCGGTGCATGCATATGCGTGCCAGACGAAGATTTGAGCAAGGATATCAAGCACTGCATTAATGTGCTCAATATCAACTGGACTTTCCTCACTCCATCTGTTCTTAAACTCTTACAGCCATCCGATGTGCCCTCACTGAAAACGTTGATTCTTGGGGGCGAAGCTCTGTCAAAGGGTGATATTCTCAACTGGGCTGACAGGGTACAGCTGTACAATGGATACGGACCTAGTGAGTGCTCTGTAGCAGCAGCCGCTAACCCAGGGCTGCAACCTACTACCGATCCAGCCAACATTGGACATGCAGTAGGTGGCGTCCTCTGGGTTGTTGATGCCAAGCAGCCTTCTAAGCTACTCCCCATTGGTGCTGTTGGAGAGCTCTTGATCTCAGGACCTATTTTGGCGAGAGGTTACCTGGGAGATCCCGAGAAAACAGCAGCTGCTTTTGTCGAACAGAGGAGCTTTGCTCCAGGGTCTCAGAAGCTTGAGCGGTATTACCGCACTGGTGACCTTGTGCGATACAATGCAGATGGCACGATTCATTTCATCGGCAGAGCCGATGGGCAGGTCAAGATTCGCGGCCAGCGTGTTGAATTGGGCGAGATTGAGTACAATATCGAGCGAGATGAGAATATCCACCATGCACTGACTGTGCTTCCATCTCAGGGCCCATTCAAGAAGCAGCTTTTGGCTGTTGTTTCTTTCAAGGGCTTTGATCTTCCTGTTGAAGACGGACGGATTTCTCTCGTGCCAGAGAACAGACGACCCGAAATTATGGCGGTCGTGACCAGAATCGCGAACACCATATCTGCAGCCCTTCCGGTTTACATGGTTCCGGCCTTGTGGGTTCCAGTGAACACAATCCCCTTGTTGCCTTCCGGAAAGCTGGACCGAAAGAAGGTCAGGCGCTGGGTCGAGACCCTGGACGATGCCACATATGAGCAGATTGCCAACGTAGGATCCAAAGCCAGCGGCCGCGGCCCAAGTACACCTGCCGAGTTTGAGCTGCGACGCATTTGGGCCTCCGTGCTGAACCGACCTGAAGAAAATATCAGTATGGAGCGATCCTTTCAGAGCCTTGGTGGTGATTCCATTTCAGCCATGCAGGTTATCGCTCAGTGCCGTGATGCCAAGCTATCGCTCGCAGTCAAGGATCTCATTCAGTGTCCTACTATCGCCGAATTAGCACTGAGAGTGCGACCTCTGGATGAAGGTGCTGAGCCAATGGAAGACGACATCGGTGTTCCATTCAATCTCTCTCCTCAGCAGACGTGGGAGTTCGACCTGAAACAGCACTGCGATCTCAATCGTTACAATACTACATTCCTGTTGTCGGTACATTCTGATTCCGACCTAGAGCGGGTAGTGGATGCAACGGTAGAGCGTCATCCCATGCTTCGTGCTCGGTTCCAGCGCGATGACTCAGGTCGCTGGATGCAATATATCCCTCTGGACCGGTCCAATAGTCATATGTATCAGGAGATGGAAGTGCCTGACTTGAAAGCTATTGAACCATACACTGCGCCCAACCAGTCTGGTTTCGATTTGCAGCGTGGTCCATTGATGCGTGCGATAGTCTTCAAGCTTCCGAACGGAGACCGGTATGTTGGACTTACTGTACACCACATGGTCATCGACACCGTTTCATGGCGCATTCTCCTCCAAGATATGCAACAAGGCTTATCCACTGGGGCAATTACCTCCCACCGTTCCGACTCATTTGCCTTGTGGTGCCGTAAGCTCAAGGAGCATGCCGATGAGAAATGGACCCCCGAAAACGTGCTGCCTTTCTCGGTCCCTGCTCCCCTATACGACTACTGGCAAATGGAAGAATCTATGAACCTTTTCGTGACCGAAACTATCCAGGAGTTCTCCCTAGACACCAAGACAACCGCTCGCCTGATGGGAAAATGCAACCATCAGTATCAGACTAAACCGCTCGACATCTTCCTGTCAGCGATCTTCCACGCATTCAGCGCGACGTTCAGTGACCGTCCAGTACCTGCGGTCTTTATCTACAGTCATGGTCGGGATGAGTTTGGCGGAGAACTTGATGTCTCCAACACTATCGGATGGTTTACCTCCTCCACTCCGGTAGTGATCAAACCATCTGGTGATATTGTCGACGACTTGCAGGCTGTGCGAGATGTGCGCGCCAGTGTGCCGGGCAATGGAGTTCCCTACTGGGCAACCCGCTGGCTGACTGAGGATGGCCATGCAGCTTTTGAACATCACAGTCCGTTTGAGTTGTCTATGAACTATCTTGGTCAGTATCAACAGCTGGAGCGCGACGATTCTGTCCTTCGCTATGTCGATGTGAACAAGCCAAAGGCGACTGGATCTGGGTCCGGTCTACTCCGTACCGCGCTGGTTGAGACCCAGGCCATCGTAATCGGAGACTCCCTGCAGATTAAGTTCGTTTATAATACGCGCATGGCACGGCAGAAGCAGCTTCTCGAGTGGCAGGCCAAGGTTAAGGAGTCACTGCTGGAAATAGCCCACCGTCTGGGGAATGATATCGAGTGAGTGACGTTCTCGGGTTGCTGTTAAAGTCTGTGTTTTTCATTCGATTTTTTCTTGAATTTCTTGAATTCGCGAGTACTCCTATCGGATTGGTTATATTGTATATTAGGCACTTGACGGTGGCTTTTCAATTGGTTTTCTCGGAGTTTTGTAAATAGTAGGCAGATTCTAATGGACGCAATAACATTAAAAAAATCGGGATTAGCAATAGATGAAACTTAATCCAACCTAGTCAGAATAATTAGCACTGTAACTAACACCAAACATATGTTATTTGGCGCAGTCCTACCCAATGCAGTCGCAATCAGTAGAGATGAATGAATCTTCAGCCCTCATCTTCAACTATAGAGGGATTCTCATTATGGATTGTAGAGTTTGGCAGTATTGTGCCCCATGCGTTAGTGTACTCTTGACTGTCTCCGAGTCACACAAAACGCAGGACAGAGTGGCTTATTGCTCTGAGGTGATGATTTCCATCCTGCCGGCTTTATTGATGATGGGTTTGGCAATATACTGAGAGGGTATTTGCAGCGCAATGAGTTCCTTGTCTTAGTTGAGTGATACTGTAGCTGCAGCAGCAATTTCTGGGAAGTACCTTGCCGAAGTCGAAACTGTGAGGTAGCGAGTAGACAAGTAGATTCTAAGCCAACAGTGTGCACTCAAACTTCTGCCTAATTCAGTGAGTGACTCGGGAGCGCCGGTAGCAAACATCGCGATCACGGTGCCAACCGCCGCGTATATGCCGGTCCACGGAACGGCATCCGGATCATCATGAAACGACAAGGGAATGCAGCAGAATCTGACAGCCTACTAATGATGCGATACGTCAGGCAGAAACAAAAAAAAGCGGCGCTCATTGTCCCTAAGTACGGGGCGTCAAGAGCGTGGCGGAGTCAGAGTCAACCAGCGACGGAGGGAGTAAGTATGGTATCCGAATCAGGCAGTCACGCGTCGCTGCCAGCAGGTGAGGTGCTTTGTCAGCGGTGCCAGATGGCGGTGCATTTTGATTGGTCAGTGCGTAAAAACAGCAGCATCCACCATTTTTAGGTTTGATGCCGGCATCTCCACTTGCAGTGAGCCGGTTCGCTGCTGCGTAAATATGCTCTTTGTGAGCTTCCGATCGAGGCCCTACCAAGTCCCTACATTTACACCAAACGAGCTACGAATTATGCGCGTCGATCTGCGCTGTCCGATTGACGGCAGGCAGCCAAAATGGCTGCTGTTTCATTTAATAAGCTGTTTCTTTCCTCTATCCTGGTTCTTCCCATAGAAATTACCCCTTTTTGGTGGCATACTACTGCTACTATATACTACTGCGAACTACATGGCGCATTAAACGAACACCACCCACGCACATCCAGGAGCAGATACTATCGCAGCAATACGATAGTGCCAGGATAACTTGATTCTGGCACTCAATCAGCTTATTTCAAAAGCCATACCTTCAAACTACGCACAAAGTCACCATCATGACCACCGTCACGGCCCCGGCGCCGTGGATCACCAGCAGCCAACAATGTACTCTGGAAACATGTCCTATGTCCTACGCCCACATCACCTATCTCCCCAATCTAGGCGGAAATGCCTTCTACATCGCTCTATTCGCCTTCTTCATCCCTGTCCAACTCTACCTCGGCATCCGACACCGCACCTGGGGGTACCTCTTCGGCGCCATCTGCGGTCTCATCCTCGAAGTACTGGGCTACATAGGACGCATCTACATGCGACACAACCCATTCATTGACCGGTGGTTCATCATGTACTTACCCCCTACCACCACCTTCCTTATCCCCCTCACATCCTGGATTGATCTAACTCCCACCCAGGTACCTCGTCTGCCTCACCATCGCCCCCGCCTTCCTCAGCGGCGCCATCTACGTCTCCCTCGCCCGGATCGTCGGTGCCTACACACCCAAACTATCCCGGATAAAACAGCGCAACTACTCCCTCATCTTCATCAGCTTCGACATCATCTCACTCCTCCTCCAAGCCGCCGGCGGCGCCATCACGACCTCGGACTCGGCCTCGGAAGTCCAAGACGGGATCAACATCATGATAGCGGGTCTCAGCTCACAAGTAGCCTCCCTAACCCTCTACATCGTGATCTGTCTCGACTACGCCTTCCGGATCTACCGACTCAGCGCACGCAACCCTTCCCCGCCCTCATCAACATCAAACATGTTTCGCATGGCCAACCACAGCAAGCAAGAATCCGAAAGCCAGGACCTCGTCTCACCATCTCGAGACCTGGTCACTCTAAACCCAGACTTCGCCAGCCTTCGGGCAAGTAAACGCTGGAAAGCGTTCCTAGTCTGCCAAGGGCTAGCCGTCGTGTGTATATATATCCGGAGTTGTTTCCGGGTCGCGGAGCTGTGCGGGGGGTTTAGTAGCCATTTGGCGAATGATCAGACGACGTTCATGGTGTTGGAGGGGGCGATGATTAGTATTGCGGTGATTGCGATGAGTAGTTGGGGTCATCCCGGGGTGGGGTTCCATGGGAGGTGGGATGCGTTGAATTATCCGATGTTTCAGAGGAAGAGGAAGGGGGTGGTGGATGTTTAGGGAAGATGTTTTGTGGGTGGGTGGGTTTGCTTATAAGAAGAGGTAGTGGTCAGGTTTGTGTTCTGTTTCATTTCCTTTGTTGTGTCTTTTGGATTGGTGCATCTTCGCTTCTAGTATCATATTTGTTGTTTGGGCTGGTTGGGTGTTGGGTGTTTTGTATACTAGCTTCGACTAGATTTGCATCTATGGGATAGAATATGCATTGGATCATTTGCGGTCGGTCTTTACGGGTATCTTCAATCAGTTGATTATACCTTCTGTCACTAGCGACCCGACATGTTAGATAATATCAGTATCCTTGGCTATCTGATCACTATCTACCTACCAGCATGAACAATAGCATGCTAGCACTATCCTAATCACAAACCAGCTCGAAATGAACGCGTTTCTTCGGCACCACAACCACCGGAAGCTTCAGGAGAAGAAGACCTCCCATAAAGAGGCTTTGCGCGGCATTCCAGTTGATCGGTCTCTTGAAGCGGAAGGAGCGAAAGAACCGGCCAACCCTTCGTTCAGCCAACAGCCAGACCCAGGTCTTTGAGGGATCCGGGTGTTCACCATAGTCATCGTGTAGGTTGGTCCGCTCATCGAAGTCTGTTCGATCCTGCAGATCATCGTCACTCCCAGGCTCGTCATTGTCATTTCCTGGCTTCCGCAAAATTCCTTTGGCCAGGCCCTTTCCTTTGTCTTTTTCTCGAAGTTGCGGGGTTATGTAGACACGCAAATTCTGTCGACTCCCCTCGCCCTGGCGATTTTTCTCTCGCGGCAAAGCCGGTTTCGACGTTACTTCGAGATCCGTACCGCTTTGTCCGTCTGAGGACACCTGAGCTTCTTCACTGGAAGGGATGTCGTCCCCGATTCCAGCCGTCTCATATTGTGGATTTTCGTGGTCCTTTTCTATTGCACCTAATATCTGCTGCAGCACCGCGTCCATATCGTTTTCAAGCGCTGCTAGTTCCGACGGGGGAACTCGGGAGTCATTAGGGTATGCGCGCTCCATTATGCCGCAGACCACCAAAGTCCGCTGATCAATGATATTGAGCTCGATTGAGGTTGGGATGGCACCGGCAAGTTCTCCATCCAGATAGTACACGCCCTTGAAAAACCGTGTATCGAATGCAGGCTTTATGCGCTTGGGGGTACCGACTGGTTCCTGGGAGAATTTCCCGGGTTGGACCCTGCAATCAATGTAGCCAATTCTGGTCTTATCCATGTTGTCATATTAGGGAGGCCTCTGTAAGAAAGTGTGAGGGGTAAAGACTGTGCAAGCAGGATCGTTGATAAGAATGTAGGATATTGCGAGTGTGTTTAGGTGAACTCTTCCAACGACTCAGCAGAGTTTGAGAGCTTCTGATATACTGCGTGACTGTTGCGAATTCTAGAGAAGTAGGCGCTGCGAGATGGTTTAGCAAGGAAGGCGCGCCAGCCCAAAACTTAGGACCAAGCGCAGCCCACCCAGCATCAAGAATGCTGAAACACTGAGTCGCCAAGCTCAGTGGGCCAAGTCCAGCATTAGACCTGCAAATTCGCGACCACGGACCCTCATAGCGTGTCTCCCACCAGTCTGTTAAACGCGCGATAAGGATCGGTATATTGCCGCGGGCGATCGCATCCTCGCATACTCCGGATCAAGAAATATTGTAAATCACTCCGATTCCGACTCATCAGGCTGCATCACCTTATCATCAAGCTCCTATTTCCTCATCAGCCCCAGGCCTGAAACAGCTCATTCCGGCATCCCTACCTTTGTCAACCTCGCCTTCAGATTCTGTAACTGGCTCTCCTTGATGACCAAATGGCGGTCATCATCCAGGTCTTCAACGATGTAGTCGTGTCTTTCTTCGTCGTATTTGAGAATGATAGCTTTCACGGACGGATCGCACTCAATGAGGACTCCTGTTTACGTCTTGGTTAGCGATTGAGTGGAGTGGATGTGCGGCGGTTAGAATACCTCTGACGGCACGAGGCATGATGGGTGATCTAGCAAAAAAGTAACTGGGTTCGGGGTAAGGTAACGGTGCTGTGAATCGAAAGTCGCCCAGGACCTGCTGAAATGTGGCTTTGTGAAGAGTGAAGGAAGACCGACCGCCGGAGAATCAAGGCGATCCGGATGTGCCAAGACTCCGCCAGGCAGCAAGGCGGTAAGGCAGCAAGGCAGCAACACGGCTTGGGCCTACTGTTGAAGCATTGCTCTTGTTTCGGTTACTATAGATAGGACGCCGCTAATATAACTACTTAAATACAGATGGGCTTGTAAGTCGCTGTCATCTTGAAGGAAAATAGAGACTAATAGAGAGACATGTCTGACTATTTGGAAGACGTGAGGTAAGTCTACCATACCAGTAGGTGTACCGCATCACTGCTCTTCCGCCGTCGCCTCCAAATCCCCAAGATCCTGCGGTTTCTTCCCCTTATACGGCGTCCACCCAGTCCCAGCCTGGGCGGCCGCGGCAGCAATGGCCAACACACAAGCACCCAGTAGCAACGTCTTCACGGCCTGTTCGTAGCTGTGAACAGCGACCGCCCTCTCCACGCCTGTCAGGCGTTTCGCCAGTGCCGGACTTCCGAGCAGTTTGCGAACCAGCTCACCTCTATTGGCAAGTCCATGTTTCATGAACCCCGTTTCAAGCCCTCTCTTCAACTCACGCTGGAAGTAACCCCCGCCAATCGAGGACCCGAAGCTGCCGGCAAAACCTCGGCTCATTCCCAGCAAGGCACTGATAACATAATGCATGTCTGGGTCAGTGAGGTGTAGCAAGTGGGATAGGGTGTAATTCATGACCGCTCCGACAGAGAGTCCATTAAAGAAGCTGGTGAAAACATAGGCGACCGTGGAAGAGTGCGGTGTGGAGAGAACGGATAATACGAGGTTTGTCAAGGCGAACAGGAAGAAGGCTATGAGACCAGAGCTGAAGTGGAGTTAGATGGGCTGTACTCTGCTCCAGGGAATGGATGAAACACTTACATGTAGTAGCTGCCCGTTTTCCGAATGTGTATCCATCCGACGAGGAGTCCTCCTAAGCCGAATCCGGCGTTGGTTGGTACCAGAATCAAGCCTGCGGTGGCCGGAGACCAATCGCGAACGACGAGTGCATAGACTGGCGAGTAGAAGAGAACTGCCCAGCGTGCCATCATACAAATAGCACCCGCCAAGCAGCTTAGCAAGACGCTCCTTTTCTTGAGCACCTCCATCGGGATAATGGGGTCGGTAGCGAATCTCGATTCGATCAAGACGAAGATCCCCAAGAAAACGAGCGATAGAAGGATAGGCGTGAATTTGACCACCGCCGCAGCGAGGCTTGAAAGTAACAGGAAGACGGAGATGGTCTATAGCGATTAGGGTCTGTTAACAAAGGACAGACGAGCTCTTACCAACGTCAACGCCCCAGCATAGTCAACCTTCGCCAACCTTTGCAATAGAGCGCGTCCACTTAAATGCTCATCCTCTGGGCGTTTCGGGATCGCCAAGTATTGTACCGGGCCCAGTATCAAAGCTAGAGGTGCTTGGACCCAGAAGATGATCCGCTATACCTTTGGTGTTATTCTACAGAGCGGTATGTATGGTGATTGAGGCAACTTACCCATCCGTAAGCCGGCGTCAGAAGACCGGCTAGCACGGCGCCAGAGGAGACACCGGTAGTCATCCCGGCGCTGATTAGACCGATGAAGAGACCTCGGCGCTTCTTGCTCGTCAAATCGAGAGTCAAGACAAAGGCAATGACCATTTGCCCGCCAGCACCACACCCCGTAAGAGCTCGTCCCAAAAGAAAGACAGCCAGTGTTGGAGCCAATGCTGTCACGAAGAGACCAATGGACAGTAATGTGCAAGAGAAAAGGATGTATACACGAGGCGTGAAGATTTGGGAAAGTCGACCGGAGAGAGGCGTGAGGCTAGACATGGCAATCTAGTAACAATGGCATTAGCAAGTGGATCCACTGCACATGGCTTGATAGAAGGTTATGTACCAAGAAAGCCGAGTTGAACCATGTTGTTTCAGAAAAAGCATCCAGATCAGCCGCAATCTCGGATTGCGCAGTAGTCATCATTGACATATTGGTTGCTGATAGATGTCAGCTTGCCGCATCTGGATCACAAAGGAGCTCCCATACTCATGATGAACAGCAACAATCCCATGGCGGCCACTATCGCCGATCCCCTCCATCGAGACACATGAATTCGCGCCAAATCTTCTCCATCATTGGAAGATTCTCCCAAAAGAGGCGTAGTCTCTTCCGGGACTCCTTCTGGACGTTCCTGGGCCGTCATATTGTGTATTCAAGTAGTCTACAGATTGTGTCTAAAAGAGAGAATGCATCCCCCCCGCAGAACCATATCTATTGTTTGGGCATCGAGAGCGACGGGGGAATGATGTGATAAGGGGACCCAAGCTCGGGATGAGCGGAGGCGCATTTCTAAGCAACAGTAATAATGTTGCGGCCCTGACCAGGATTCCGTCCGGTTGGGGCATCGATAACTGTTATCGGGGCCAATCATGAAGACGAATCGAGATCGGATGGCCCGCAAAGCTTCCAACAGCCTTGCAGAAGACAAAAGTACGCGGTACGTGTGCCTGTTGATAGCCTTTCAGCTTGTGTGGTCCGTGGGTGTAGTCGTGACGTAGGCACCGTACATTGCCCAGCTGTCTGGACCCTAATGGCTGTATGGAGTTATGCGTTGTGACAGGCGGGTGGACTAACGGCATGTCAGTTATGCAGGCTGCATCGGAGACAGTTGGACCCGACTTGCCGATGGTGGAGACTGAAGCGACGGGAAATAATAATAGTGAGGCGGTTGATTTGATGGGGAGAGATTCCCGATGGCAAATGGAAGGTTTTCGGGGAATTCTTTCCAGGACTCGGCAGCAGGTGACTTGTGGATGCCTGAGGCGGAACATGTCATTGGTACCAGGTGATGGAAGATATGCAGCCAAGATATCTGCAGTGTCGAGTGATGGCTGCAGCTGACTGCAACGACAGGATATATAGTGAAGAAATGGGACTCGCAGAATTATGATCCATCATGGTCTAACAACAACTGACTGTCAGTACTACTCTTACACGTCGGAGCTGAAATGATGAGGGCAACAATATATATCTGGTCGCTAGGGCTAAGCCTGCTGACAGTGGATGCACACCATGATCGAACAATACTAGGTACTAGTACTACAAATCTCTACGTTCAACTACCAACAGTGGTGTTGTTTCCGAAGGACGAGACATGAGCCAACTTAGAATAGCTGGGATGACAAGCGCCAAGCAAGAACCAATGCTCGAATCTATCGCCTCGGCGCAAAAGGTGCTTGGTGATACCGCTGACTGTATGTTCTGCACGCCTACCCAGATACAGATTTACTGAGACGCATTTAGCCTGCTACGTCTGCTCGTCGCCTTGCTCCAGAGCTGTCTGCTGTCATGGAGAATTCCCCCAGTGTTGCTCAGATGGCGTCTATTGCTATTGCTGTCAGGACTGATTACTTCTGGTGTCTTGTCTAAGGAGCCATCCAGGGCAGGTATTCATGTAAACGTGTTTTTTACACGTTAGCTAGACTGACACATCGAGATGATGTCGTCTGGAATATACGGCTGAAGAATGCCGATCAAGGACGATAGAGGGATCCAATCCAATGTGCCATAGATCGTCTCGATCGCATGTCCGCTGTACAGCACGCGAGCGTAAAATTCTTCATCTGATGTTTCCCTATAGCAGTGTGAGTACCACACTGGATTTTGTTAGGCGTAACTTTGGCATGGGTCATAACGTACCAGATTTCAAACGCAATGTTCGATCCCATACCCGGCCAGCGCAATGCTTTAATGCCCAGCGCGCCAAGAATGGGTCCAATATCTCCATCATGGACGAAGCTGTGGCTATACACTAATTCGGTTGTCCCTTGCTGCACCGCCTCCAGATGGCGAACAATCTCTCCGATAAACAGACCTTCGACCAGTTGGATGTACCGAGTAGCGTTGGCGTTGTGTCGCCACCAGTAGTTCCATTCCCAGTCGCCCGCACGGAACACTTCTTCTGCCTGGCTGACAGTAGCACATTGAGTCTCATTTTGCAGGCTGCAGGGTAACTCATAGCCATTGCAGAGGCGGGCCTGGAAATTATCCGAGAAGTGGTCGAAGGTCGACATCCAGCTGGAGGTATCAGCGTTGAACATGGTTGCCAGCTGACTGCGGAGCGACTGGGTCACTGTCAGATGCTCGTTCCACTCTGCCGTGGATTCAATGGCGGAGAGCACCTCGCTGCGAGCGGAACAGGAGTATCCTTGGTCGACCGTGTCGACCCCGGAAGCCTGCTGGTGTAGCGGCAGGGGTGCATTGTATTCGGGCCAAATACCTCGCAAGACCCCACCGGCGGATTCTTGGGTGAGGGCCGAGGTACTCGAACGGAACCAGATCTTTTTGCCATTGTCCTCGTCCGGTGACGATGGGATTAGCTGCAGTTGATCCCGATACACGGCAGCGAGGTCGCGACCGTGCTGATAGCCATCGAAAAAGCCCCCAATTGTCAATTGAGGATACTGACACGATCCATTGACATAGTTTGCCAAGAATGGGTTGGAGGGATCGGAATACGTTTGGCCATACACGGGGATCGGAGCGGGACCCTGGGAGGCCGGAGAGACGTAAAGATGAGCCTGGAGGTTGTTGCAGTGATATTCTTGGTTCTAGAGCAACGTTAGCTAGTCCAGCCGAGTACTAAGAGCTGGCCTCATACCTCGCCGCCCGGAAGAATGTTGTAGGGGGTGCGGCGTTGATGTCGCTGCACGTATTCAAGGTAGACTAGGCGGGCAGAGACGGACTGGTTGGCGACGGGAGACGGAAGCGAGTAGGTCTCCGCACGGGGATGGGGCATGGAACAGTAATTGTAGACATCCTGCGCCGTCGGAGTACTGGCCTGATCTGCGGGTGCAGTGTAGATGCCCCCATAGGTACCGATGGAGGCGTTGGTGATGTAGGTGGTGTGGTTGAGGGGAGGGTAGAAGGTGTCACGGGCCGCGAGGGTGGGATTGCCTGCGGGGAGCAGCACGGAGATCAACGTGGAGATCATGTCAAGAAACCCTTCATAGATGCTGGACATCGTGACTCCGGCTGGTGGGGAGTCCAATCAGGTATAAATACTCTGTTTTCATCACTTTCTCGTAGTCCCATGGTGGTCTTCCTCTAATGTCGTGCAATTAAATTTGGTATGCGAAGACACCTGCTTTTTGCCGACGGTCGGCTTCCACTCAGTTGCGACAATCTCCCACGTGCGGGATTGCCTCAACCCTAGCTAACGATAGTGAAGCCAACCCACGTGGGTGAAGCTGGACCGCTGCAGGTCCATCTTACTCATTGAATGCAGTGGTCCCTTTGGCAACAATGAACTCTCACAGGTACCTACGTCGTGTCAAAGGCAGTTTATCCCCCTATCGCGACATCTCCATCACCGTTGCTGATCACCGTGAAGACATAATCATCTCCACAGCGTGAATATTCTATCACTGTCCGGGATAATGAGTGACGGACAAACTGATAAATATGATTCTAATTATACTAATTTCGTGACAGCTGAGGACTGGCCCCAAGGCTGTAATCACGTGGACGCGACTAGTGTGTGCACTATCAAGGACTAACTGACTTGTCAGCTTAGCCAGAAGTCATGACGCACATTGCTAGAATCCCTCCAAGGTGCGATACCTACTTCAGCCCAAGCAATGGATACGAACGCAGGAACCGCGTGCTCAGGGCTTGGCCCGCCAGATTTCCCCGATCATCGATCCGATAGTCGTCATGATGAACCCCGAAGACAACCCGCTAGCTTCTTGTTTGTCGATTACCAGGACCAGGCTTCTCAGGGCCCAACGTTAGCCAAGAAGAAGCAGGCCTTCATCAAGAAGATGCATCATCAATCCAAAAAGGAACGACGGTTGCAAAAGCTGAAAGCTTCCATCGGCCCGCTGCCGACTCAGCGGTCTAACCCACTAATCCTTCCGTCCAACCCGGGATCCACCACTTTCCCCATGGAACAATACGAGGGAGGATGCTCCTTCGACCGAGCGTTGCGGCCCGCTGGGATTGATCCCTTTGCTTCACTCTGCGTGCCTGCCAAGTCAAGTGTGGAGCTTTACTTCGACCACTGTGAGTAGTAGTATCGGTCGCAGCAACGCCAGTGGCCTCTCTGATCATTCTTTCCAGACCGAACCGAATGTTCCTGGTCGATCTATCCCTTCGGAGCGACAGGCGTCAGCATGTGGTGGTGGCAGCAGTCAATCGAGCAGCCGGCCCTCTTGTACATCATCCTGGCAACCAGTGCCTCCCACCGAGCCGGCCGGGGGCTCATTGCGCAGGCCCCCAAGGCCGCCCGAGATTCTTATCGGGATTCCCTGGAGTACCGGCAAAAGACTCTCACAGGACTCCAGAGCATGATGCAGATTCCAGGCACGAGCACAAGTTTACTTCGGTCTATGGCAGTGATCATCGCCCATATGATCTGCGTAGAGGTTCGTTTCTTTTCTCCCTCAATCTCACAATTATTAGTCTCACCTAGGACATTGAAATGAGAGGATTAACTAGACCATGATACGTTGTTCGTCACTTAGGCCGCAGATACCAATTTGGAAGCCGTAGACGGCCATGTGCGCGGGCTGATCAAGATAGTTCATCTCGTGGGCGGCCTTGATACGTTCAGTGACGCAGACGCTCCCATTATCTACAGGTGGGTTGAACCACGAATATACTACAAAGTACCATTCATTAACCATTGTGGTTCGTCCCTCTCTAGTGCCAATTTCATGAGCGCAGCTGCCAGAGGCTCGGCACCGCCCTTGGCGATAACCATGGCTTGGAAAGCCAGAATACTCGAAAGCTTGTATAGCCTCACTGCAACCGACGACGCCCTGCACGGTTCTTCAATCGGCTTTCGCTTCTTCAACTCAGCGTGGTCACAAGCAATTCTTCCTAGTTTGCGATCTATTATTAAGCTATTCCGCAAAACCACGCACTACATGTGTACTACTGGACCAATGGAGGAAGCTCCTGTACTCAACGACTGGTTGGTCTACACAGCCCAACAGTTGTTGTTGATCGCCCCAGTCTGCATGCCCTCTGACTTGCAGGAGTGCCTGCGACTATCAGTTCTGCTCTTCGCCGCAGTCCAAGTCTGGGGCTTTCAGGGCTTGCTATTCTTAAATCAGCCTGTACTGGCTTTCCACTGCCGCTTAGAAACCGCGCTTCTCTCCATTCACCGCATGGCGCCCGATTTAGCTTTCTGGATGCTATTCACCGGCGGGATTGCAGCAATGGGCCATCCTAGTCGCGGATGGTTCGTAGACCGCCTCGCCTCGGTCGCCGGCCAACTATCCCTCACCACGTGGGACAGCGCGCGGACCTTGTTAGAACAGTTTCTCTTCTTCTCTCGGCCTACTGATACCCGCGCTGAGATACTCTGGAGGGAAGTAGAAAGGCAACAGGCTTTGTTGCCGGGTCCGTAACAAGTATCTAGTTTAATTAGGAATGGTTCAAGTTTTACTGGGTTTTGCAAAAGTCCGACTATGGGCTGCCGAGCACCAGTGGCCCCATTCCAGAGCCAAATTTAATGCTACTAAACGCGTTTCGGGAGTAGTACAACTTTACTAGTGGAAAAGGTCCCCGGCCCTGGCATGGAGAATTTGGGAGAATGCACCAATGGATCTTACAATTGGCGGGGAGGCCGGAAGGGTACTTTCATCTATTTTCACTAGCGACATTGGGAGTTTGAAAGGCCATAAATTAGAACCAGCGCCCACCCCCCCCGAAAAATAACCCCCTCTCCGAATTCAATTGTTTATAGCAACGGTCAGGATGAACTTGGATATCGTTCCCAACTGGCTCCGGATGTACGTTTCTCTAATAATGCCAAGACGCCCACATTGACACCGTAGACAGTATCCTCCTTCTTTTGAGCATCGCCTCCTTTTTGCCGCAGTTGCAGCGAATATGGCGTACGAAGCAGTTCACTGGCCTGTCGCTCTCATACGTCCTCTGCAACTTGATGAGTGCGACAGAGCAGTTTACTCTACTGTTCTTTCTACTCGTCAATCAGACAGAGAACGTTGATGTCATCCATAAGACCACTGGAGATTGGATCAACCTTGCCCAGCTGAGTGCTGTTTGGATACTATGGGTTTCATTGTATGGTCGAGCCGCTACTGAAATTTTGCACGCAGCTGTTAACCATTACTAGGTTTTCTTTGGGTCTCTATTACCCCTCAGACCAGCACAGCCGTGGACGCAAGGTTTCTGTCTTGCTCCTGTACATCGTGCACTTGCTTGTCTCTGTTGTCCCTGTTGTTGCTGATGCCATTGATTATTATCTCGTCAGCGCCGGAGAGGATGCAGCATACCGCAACTTCGGGCTCGACATCTTTGGCGGATACCACTATGGCTTTATTCACCCGGCAATGACTCTAGTAGGAATCTATGCCTGGTTTCCGCAGAATGACGAACTTCATCGTCAAACCCAGCTTCACTCCCTCAGTCAGACTGGTCTAGCTGCTCAAGCGGTGATATTCGTATTTGTTGCTATCTCGTGGACCATGAGAACGAATTTATACAACAGTAACCTTTCAAATCTCCCTTTTTGGGCAACCATCCCTGAATGGTTTATTTATGTGTGGTGGGCGGCAGTAGATAATATGATATTTTCCTGCGTTCAGACTAGACTTTATCTCAGGGTACGTCACTGTGAGCAGTCCTCCACAGACCAGGAGACGCAACCTTTGCTCTCAGAAAGGGCATCGCAAAGTGAAGAATGAGAGCCTCTTTGTTTTGATACCTTTATACTATTACGTGAGGGAAAAATAAAGTTTGCAAGTTGTTGTTGGCACTGTATAATTATTCTTTCTCTACAATGCGAAACTCAATCGCATTTGACGCCGGTATTACAAGCTGAGGTCGACCCCCATTGTCCGCCGGATCAGTCACCTTCCCCCAAGGATGCGGTGGTATCTGGACATTTGTGTCGGCATGTTCGTCCACTCCCCCGTAGTCCCACCAGTCCACTGTACCACCCTTGAAGCGATAACGCCATATATCTCCTACTTCCCAACCATAGATGTCTTCTAAAATTATCCATGAGGGACTCCAGTATTCTCCCGGCTTAAGAGTAATGAAGCCTTCGTCCTCCACCACATTGACTGTGACATTAGGATCATCCAGAAACAGCCCAGAACATCCACAGGGGCCCTCCTGAAGCTCCCACAACCCGCTCTCCAGACGATAGGAGCGAAGCAGCTCCCAGATCACATGGTTACGGAATATTATCGGCTGATCTGTGGGGCCACCATGGTAGCGAACATACAACGATGCATAGTGTTTTCCCTCGGGGGCAATTATCTTCGGACCGGAGAGCTCTACGCTCAGTATGGGGGCGCCCTGTCTGTTTGATAAAAGTGTAAGCCTTTCGGATTACTGAGAATGGAAATCCCGGCACCTGGATGGGGTGAAATGACTTACACACGGTCTGATAGCAGTAATGGTGGGGTGGATTGCCGGCGAATGAAGGCCGGAGACTCTATCTGCTCATATGTAAACGTAACACGTGGACCTCCCGGTATAATCAAATCCGACTGTGTCGGATTAGCAGTCAGGCGGGACCCCATATAGTCACTAGGGACTCCCCAGTCCCACAAAGGAATCTTTGTACCGGTCCAGACCAGCTCGTAAGTTTCGCCTGGTTCCAGCTGCTCCCTGTACCTGCGTGGAAGACTGTGACAGTAGGTTATGGAACCGCCTGGCTCTAGCTCCTGAAGGTCACATGGGTACTCCACGTGCACCATGTCTAGAGGATCTAGGGTCGCATCTGTTACATGTAAAGCTCGGGATCCACCACATTCCCATAGAAGAATGCGATTAACTATATCATTGAATTGAGAACTAAATTCCTGCAGAAAAATAACAGATATCAGATCCTTCTAATTAATCAATTACGAACACACGTTATCCCCCAAGAGCATGACGATAGAGTTCCACCATGGCTCCTATTTCTCCGTACAAGTCTGGAATTATCTAAGTTATAGCGACAGCTTTGAACCAAGACTGTAATTCCTGGCGGCGAAGGAGACACACGCGGTGAGTAGAATCAAGTTATACAGCGCGATGTACCACCTATATGAAACTCGGTCATGCTCGATTGTCCTAAGTCGGGTCAATCGGTAAATGAGACCAAGAGTGAGTAGGCTTATGAGGCTGGTCATAAGTACCGTGGGCAGAGTGTACCCGAACTCGAAGACTCTGTGGGTGATGAGGATGTACTACGCACATAGGTCATGTCAGCTCCTGTGTTCATCGTGAAACTCGTAGTAGGGGAATCAATATGGTGAAAGTGTACCTCAGTTGTAATTAGTCCCGTCGATGCATATATTCGGGCTACAGATGATAACGATCAGCCTCGATTGAAAAGGACCAAACAACGGGTGTACAACTCATGCACAACACATACCCGGAATATCCCCCAACAGGATAGGAGTCGTTCTCCGCCCAGCAGCCATATCACCAGGAACATCACGAAAATCCTGAATAGGAACGGTGAAGAAAATCCAAATAATAATCAATTTGACCCATCTCCAGCCATCATACATGTCGGAGCCACCCAACTTCCAACAGGCCATGAGCTGGGAAGTGACACCTAGAACGATGCAGAGATCTTTTGCCGGTCCTATTCTGGATACTCGTAGCAGATAGTGGGAAACGAGGACAGCTATCCAGAGCAGAGACCAGATGTAGACGTCTAGGATGTAGCTTAATAAGAGCCACGTTGCTGATGCGATATAGAATCGTAGTTTTGCTGCAGCCACGGTAGTCTGGGACTGCACTATTGGTCGGTTTGGCTTGTTAATCTCGTCTTCAAATATGCCTCCGTCGGCATTGTTTGCTAGTTCGGTGCTGTAGTAGAAGAAGAAACCGTAGAGCAGTGTATCTGTGTTGTAGGGTTAACTACTATGAAATGTCAGACTGGTAGGTCAATCGTACTGGCGAGAGAAGATACGGCTTCTTCATATGTTGCTCTCCGGTATAGTAACGAAGCGGTAGTGAATATGGGGAAAGGGACAAAAGCTGCGTCAAAGTTGCTTTCCATGAATGAGTATGATAGTTGTATCTCTCGCTTTATCGTTGCATAAAGCCAGTAGAAGACATTGTTCCAGGGGACTGATCTGATCCTGTGGTTGTTGACATGATTAGTCGCGAGACTCATCCTGTAGATGTAATGGAGTTACAAAAGGGGTGGTAGTAGTCGTAGTGAGTGCCAGACTGGGTCGCAGAGCTTGGTGCTGTGTTTAGAAATAGTTCCTGCTCTTACGGCTAGTAGTAATTGTACTTTCAATTTATATAAGGATTCTATGAAGATGAAAACAACCAACGCTACTTCCGCCAAAGGAACTTGTGCAGGAAGACCAAGACATGTTTCAGTTGCTTTCGGACTATCTCACTTGAAAATTGAAAAGGTCTAAAGTGCTGGCGCAGTAGGACGGTGTTGCGTGGCCGGAATAAGAGATCTGAAGTTCTTTTTTGAAAGGCAAAAGAGACGTCCGAATCTGAATTTAGATATGTGCATCTAGTATGATCACGGTTGTAACATTCTACACGTAATACAGAATATCATATAAGGAAAAGAAGTTTAGGGCATCGCAATAGGCATGAAAAGAGCAACGGGTGTTCATTTATCCGTCCACTCATCAGCTCGTAGTTAGTTATATAACCACTTCCCAAAAGAGCGCTGCATGCTTTGTATCGGAGTGTCAACCGCAGTTTAGTGAAATAGTTACTTGTATGCTTCCGGCGAAGAAAGTCTAAATATAAAGTAAGTTTACACCAGTTTGAGACAATATACTTACCAGCGCAAGAGGGCATTGCTGTATTAACCGGATGCAGAGAAGGGTCTACGGGCCCCAAGAAGAATGCAGGCTGCTCTGAGGACCGACAGCAGGGTATGATAGATGGACAATCCAAGAAAAGAAAGAAAAGAAAAGAAAAGCAATGTTGACGGGTGACAGTTGACAGTTGTCTCAAATAATTCAGTCTAATCATTCCGTGGCGCTTGCTAAGGGCCTCAGGCACGGATCCCGTCGCAACTGCATCTCGGTCCCCAGCTCTTCACGTATCTCCAACTAGGTCCATGCGCCTTTCTCCCTTCGCTGGCTCTCTTGGCTAGAATAAGATCTTTGATTCTTGGAATGGAGTGCTTCATCGCTAGCGGAATGAAGATATGCTCTCCCACAGACATGGTGGCGTATGTGTGGGGATGCTTGTCTCTAGTCTCTTGATCAATAAACACAAAAGGGATGCACCAAAGAGGGCACGAACTTCGGGAGCGGGGACGCCAGCGCGGGACACTTTAATGGGCTTAAACCATCGACCGACGTTGGATTTTGAGTAGGGATGCCGGTAGCGTGTTGCCAAGCTTTGCTAAATATTAGTGGGAGGGTCGGGGATATCAACTGTTCCCTTCACCATTATTCTCGTCGGTCATACTTAAGAACCATCTAGTGGTCCTGGTAATAAATTCTTGCTATATTAACTATTATTGAGTCATGTTAATCCCTCTTTAATCACTATAGCTAAATAAATATGCTGAACCTGCAAATAACGACCTTCGTTTTTCATCGCAGATACCGCCTCGTGGAATCCTTCAGTCCGCCGATCACGGACTTAGAGCGAGGCTATGGCGCATGGCCTTCTTCAAGTTTTCGCGTGGCAGATTGGGGGCCGAGTTTCACTCTAGTTTCCATAAGGGGGGCAGAGACTCACCTCCCTGTTTGTCGCTGTCCGCTCATGTTTGATCTTCTTCAGTTCATGAACGTTTTCCCTTGTAATGGTGGTGGTTGTTCATAGACACCATCCAGTTGACCTCCACGATGAAGGGTCTCGCGCAGATCGTCGGGCTGTATGCCTCTTTGGCCGCCGGGAGAAAATACTGCACCCGAACTTTTCATTCTTGTGAGTTCGCATAGTGTTTCTGGGTTCTCTTGGCTGCGTAACGCGCTGACTTGCAGTGTCTTAGCTATCATAAATAACCAGACTTTATTTATTGACGGTGGGGAGGTGCGCTATCTGGAGGATAATAATACCATTTCAGCATATGCCAGTATGTGTTACCTCTTGTGTGCATGATTTGCTGGCGAACATTGTGTTAATATCTCGGACTGCAGTCCGCGACCTGCAGACCGTCGACGTCTCCAAGTCCTTCTCGAATACCGACTCGGATCTCTTCACTCATATCGACAAGCCGTATAATGCATCCGATCCGGACGAGTACCCGACTTTCCTCGACGAGGGTTCCGCATTCAACGACGGCAACAACCTCTACTTCTACGGCGGGTATAAGAGCGGTCGCGACGGCCCGACGACCGTCCCGCCCGTTGAGACGTGGAAATACGACATCCAAAATAATAACTGGACGAAAGATGGATTCGGGGGCGTGCCGCTGGTTCGGCTGGTAGAGGGAGGGGCAGTTGTTTCGCAGTCCCAAAACAAAGCGTACTATCTTGGGGGTGTGGAAGACCCGGGCGGAAATCCGAACATCTATGGTACTGCGGGAGCGGACGTGGAGATTGTCAGTGGATTGTTGGTCCTGGATCAATCGACCTTGCAGTGGTCAAATTTATCGACGTCGGAGATGAACAATTATGGTACGATTGGAGCGGGGTATGTGAATATCCTGGAGGATGTTGGGGATGAGGGGCTTTTGGTAGCCTTTGGTGGGTATAAGTATCCTGTCGGGCATAAGCTGTCGCTGCTTTGTTCGAGTCAGACGAATACGACCTTCCATGTACGTTCGACTACCCGGTTATTGCTGGGGGTATCAGCTAACAAGAGCTAGAACCCTATGGAGTACGTCAGTCTGTATGATATCGCGAACCAGAAATGGTACACGCAGCAGACTACCGGAGACATTCCGAATTGGCGGATGGCGGGCTGCAGCGTAACAGTGGCAGCGCAAGATCGGTCATCGTTCTCCATGTAAGCTTGACGCTGATGCTCAATGATTGTGGTTACTGACATCTCCAACTCAGCTACATGTTTGGCGGGATGGCCGCGACCACTGCGAAATCCGACGGCGATGTATACGTTCTTTCACTGCCGTCATTCAGATGGATCCGCGTGAACGAGGGCAGCAGCATCCGCGAAAAGCACACATGCAATGTCCTTGGGAAGCATACCATGCTTGTGGTTGGAGGAACAATCCCAACAGACAGTTCGGAGTATGAGCCGAAGCCGGTGAACTGCGACACGGGCACCTTTGAGAACGGACTGGCCATCTTTGATCTGAACCAGCATACCTGGCTCACTGACTATAATGCCGATGATCAATCGGAGTATGCCCTGAGCTCAGCAATCACCGATGTCATCGGGGGAAGGTACGTAAATCCGGTCGAGGGATTAGTTTTGCTGCAGTGCTGATGAACCACGAACAGCTCGACGGGCGGTGCAAATGTCACCGAACCAAAGAATGGGTTCAACGACACGTCGTTGGCGACCATGTTCCAAAAAGCAATCATCACCCCTACCACCAATTCCACAACAGGTGGTAACTCGACATCGACATCGGCAAATGGCAGTAGCAGCAGCACAGGCAGCTCCAAGGGCAGTTCCCTATCGAAAGGGGGCATTGCGGGAGCCACCGTCGGGGCGGTGGTGGGTGCCAGTGCCATTGCGGGGCTCGCCTTTTTCTTAATCAAGCGCCGACGCGCCCAGCCCAGCCAAGAGACTACTACTGATACTCCTGCCATGGCGCATCCACCTGTCTATGGACCGCCTCAAACAAGGCTGGCGGAACTTAGTAGTGATGGGGTGACACATGAATTGGGGACGGATGGAGGGAGTGGCACGCAGGATGCGGCTTCTGGGAATTGGTGGCAAAAGACTCCGAATATACCAGAGATGGATGGGGTTGCGAGGGTTGAGAAGGGGTGACCGTGTAACTTTAGAGCTCTAATTTATCACGTTGGGTTTGGCGCTGCATTTTGGCGTTTTGCATTGTTGTCCGTGAATTTGAAAGCGACGGAGGGGTCTGTCTTTCAATAGCGCTATAGACTTCTTGTAAGCACTCACCACTAAATGCAAGTAGACCCCCAGAGGACGCGTCAGAAGTAATTACTGGATTCATCAGGATCTGTGAGCTGTCAAAGCACTACCGCTAGCCTTCCTTCGTTCTTGGTAGTGTATGTCAGACTCGATGAGCTGGGAGAATAATCCGAGCAATGGCGTGGTGGGGTAGTATGGAAAGCAGGAGGGATTGGAGGTTAAAGTAAATGAGATGATCAATTAGTTCCCATGTCCTTCGGAGATTACTCGACTGGTTATGGAAATTGCTGCACTATGCTCGGAGTCCCTCCCGATCCATGTGCTGTCCCTAGTAGGGTTACTATAATTAACGCGGTCGGTGGCACACTAAATCAAACAAACAAAACCCAAGAGACAACAGTCCGGTCCAGCACTGACAGTCCGTAGTGACTGCCTGAGGCTGCGACCGGAACATTGCCGTCGCCGCAGTGTCGCACCCCCTTCAAACAATAGTGCTACAGTCCATGACCGCGACAGATATTTCCCAAGGATCCATTGCGATCTAGAATTACAGACCAAACGTCTATCTGGGTCCAAAGTTGATAGTAGATACTCGATAGATAACTACCAAGGATTTAAAGGGGTTGGTACCGTTCCTGGCTTTATTGCCCGTCCCTAAGAAGAGAGGGAGGATCCACTCAAATAGATAGCATCACCGAACCCCTGTATCGAGTCACCACGCTAGCAGGGAAGGAACAGGGTTCGTTTGGATTCACCGTGCGCAGCTATTTCTTTTATGAACATGGACATAGAGAATCTATACCAACACCATAGCAGATGTGGCAGAATAATGAACATAGAGAAGGGTGATAACTGCAATAGTAAGGGAACATATTATGGCAGGGAAAAATACAACCCTGACAAGTAAGGGTTAAGTTCCATGGGTTGGCGCGTCCCGAAATTTCCTCTTGCTTCTCCGACGGTGCCGTCATCGCGTCACGGGCTTGGGCAATTTTACTGCTCAAAGTGGTGATTGGTTGATATGTTTTCAGTGACTTTAAAGTGGGGTATAAACAGCCTATCATGATACGGAAGTGGGGCAGTGGACACCACCGTTGCCCGGATTGGATTATTGATGCCATCATCAGTCACTTTGGTACTACTACTGAGTAGTGCTAGTAGTACTTACTC